TACTTTTAGCCATATAATTCGCTATATGTTACCTGTATGAAACTCACGGAGTACTATTAAAAAAAGATTATGACGTTTTTAAGTAATGCACTTGCATATACAATCATAACAAATGAAGTCTATATTGAACGGGGTTTTTTATGTATGAAAAAGTAGTGTGGGTGGTAAGGACAGAGGTTCACATACAGTATCACAACAACAAGGAATAAATAATGTTAAAATCTGATTTATTATAAAAATACAAAAATAATGGCAACAATGTGTATTAGTCCGTCATTCGGGTAAATCACTTACAAATATCGACATGAGACGAATAATTAACAAAATTGCCGCGCTGGTGAAAAACAAGCGGCATATGGCCGGTAACGCATAATATAGTGTGGTAAAAAATGTACCTACACGCAAAAAGAAAGGAGAATGTGTTGAATGCAAAATATTATAGTCAATACGGCATGGGACTAGTTTCGATTAAGTCGCATGGCCGAACGCAAAAGAAAATAATAATAACCGTCGGAGGTGAATTCCGAGAATTTAAGTATCACTGTTCGCGTATGACAACAACTGTTATGATCCGGCGTATACCAAAGTAATATGTACAAGGTCAGCGCCTCTGCTCTTAAATCAACCAAAAGAAAATGATGAAAAAATGCGTGACGACGTCTACGCGACACCAAAACAAAAAAAATCAAACCCAACACACGCCGCATTTACGTTTTTACTCATGGGAATTCGATCCTTATAGAATAACCCGGCGCTCTGGCGCGTAGGTGCCTTTCATATATTCGTAAACAAACAAAAGGAAGATCACATAAGGTCTTGACAAAAAATTAAATTCTTGGCCGTTTCGGTGATGCAAAAAAAAATAAATTGTTATAACGCAATTACAAAGCACGGCGGCCCTTAGAATAAAAAAAATCGAGCAGACTTGCTAAATTAAGGAACGCACACAAAATAATCGCCAGATCGGAACCACACGGGCGTAGAGACACACAGTTAACGAGCGCGTCGACGGAAAAACAAGACACGGGGCAAGAATCGCACGGAAAAAACGCAGAGAAAAAACAATTGCAAACCCCTAACTTAAAAAAAAAGAGAACAATAGACAAGACGTGATACAAAAACCAAGGAAAGCTCCGTCGTTCGAGCTAAGCAGATCGAAGGGCACCACTTGGTTGATTATTAGACAACCATGGGCCAAGGATTACCCCTTCGATCGTGTGAGTGCTGGACTCACTGCCTCGCTCTCCGAGGGGTAGCTCCTACTCATTCCTATCCGATTCTTTGCTCCCGATTTTACTTGGTTCCGCTCGGGCGTCCCGTGACTAACTAACTTTTTCCGGCTCCGCCTCGACCCCTTTTCTTTTGCTTCCCCCTTTGCCTCTCTTTTCTTTTCGGCGGTGTACCTGCGGCCAACCTGCACACTTACAAAATGCGCAATTCCCCTTTTCGAAAAGAAAGGAAAAATAGAGCAAGAGGTCCCACGTGACTCAGCCCGTACGTGTACGCACCTACACCTTGCAATATTTTTAAAATAGTTGGAGTTGACTTGTGCAAAAACTTACAATAAACTTTTCCAAGCACTTCTTGTTCAGCAATTTGTGATTAACTTCTAACCTTTTTTCTAAAAAATAACTTCGACTGATCCTATGTCATTTAAAGAGTCGTAATCTTCTTTTTGTATTCTTCAAAGAGAATGCGCTCCTTTTTCTTCGGTTTAATACAATAGAACTACTAAAACTATTTAAAAATTTAAACATTAACCATCCCTTCATACGAAATACAAAATGGAATTTTAATAAAAATCCTTCAAGAAACAATCGCTACATTATTTATTCACAATAAACTTTATTATTACATTGTTCCCTATGTTAAATTAACGATCCTTGTACTCAGTGGTGTTGGCGGTGGCTATGTCAAAATTACTTTTAACATATTAATATATACCACCTCTTGCGCCCCCTGTACTCCTCCCCGCTAACCCTGCAATTTGCTAATTCTTGTACATAGTAGCTGAGGCAGTGGCGGCACTGGCGAAATAAATTTAGCACGTATAAAAGACTATTAGGTTAATTTGGCCCATTCTCGGAAATATTGGAATAAGTGCGGAAGCCGGGCGTAAAATGATTGCATGGGATGGCCTCGACCCCGCCAATTTCGGATTTTTATACACGGTGGTGTTAGCGGTGGCACGATAACTTCATAATATGTAGAGAAAAAAGACTATTCACTTGACTTCGGCCAACCTTAGGGATCTTCGAAAAAATGTGGATCTTAAAACTTGACACTATTTTGACTTGTTACATGCGTAAGTGTTGTAGATTAAGAAATAAGAAATCCATATAACTGTATGTAATAAACATACTTGCAATAATAGTAATGTTATGAATGATTATGACATAGTCAAACGACTAAAATAAAACGTTGCCTTCTCTTTGTCATCTGCTGCGCAAGTGCAGCGCTCGTCAATTTGCAGCCGTGCAGCCGCTTTTGTGGTTACATGAATCATCATGTATAAAATTATAATTACTGAACACATCCTTATCAAATAGGACCGTATAAACTCTTTTTTTACTTATCTACAACTTTTACCAATACTAATAGTCAAAAGTATGCTTTGACTTCAAGATCTTAGCGAAATGATATGTACGGTTTTTGCCTACTTCATATACAGAGCTATGTAATTTTTCCGAGAGTTCACCCCGTTTGGAACCACCAGAGGTCGTTAGTAGCAGTTCACATAGCGAATAAAGAGAATGAAGACTATTAGGTCGACTTAAGCTAATCCCGGGAATGTCCGTAAAAGAGCGGGAGCGTAAGGGGATCGCGTTGGTAGGCTTGCTCTTGTAGATGACAGCAGCGACGTCTATTCATTTTACTTCGGCTTACCTTGGAAATATTTGGACGAAGTTAACGTGTGAGTTTATCCTTATAATAACTCTTGTAATTTCTTTTTCGTAATAGTGTCCGCAAAACCGATAAAAAAATTTCTGCTCGACATCGTGCACGATATGCTACAAGATTTCTTGTCGCATGTCGTGCACCTTCAGTAAGGGGATTTAAACGTCCAGAAAATCCTTAGTCGAGTGTCTTACCACCTTGGTCAGAACAGATTTAGCATTCGGGAAAGAATGAACGTCCTTATGACATACATATAAAACAAAAATTTATGTTTCATTTCGTGTATAACATTTACCGCCTTGTTAACTTAATTGGTTCATTAACATTTTATAAATGTATACATAACATTGTTTTGTGTCAGTTATATGTTTGTCAAAAATAAATCTAGTAATTGATTTATTATAACTAATTTTTGTTTACGAATTTCACTTAAACTTCACATATACTTTTTATTCTAAGGTAAAAATAATTTATNTAATTTCCTTAATAAATATCAAAATTTTTGCGAAATATTTACAAATTTTTTTCTAAGTACATTTAAATATTCAATGAGAAATTATTTACTTGAAAAAACAGCTCGTCTTGAAGCTGAACTAGAAACCTTCTTCGCACCAGAAAAATACGCTTCTGAATGCGCTACGGGGCCTAAGTGCCCTTGTTCGTGCCCTTATTCTGTCGAATGGAATAAAAATTACTTTTTTTCAGGCCCAGCGTCACACTGATATTTACATTAGGGTTCTAATATGGGCCAAATATTTAGAATTAAGGTTTATTAGCAACATTTATCGAACGCACTTGACGACGTTCTTACCGTTATGTGAGTAGCCTACATATGTGATAAAAGAATTATATTAATAATGGCTCTTCCTCTTTCCTCGAAATATGTATTCTACGAAACTCAAACAATTTTGCAAATGAATAAATTTAGATAGTTGATCAGAAATTATTACCAGAACAAGAAAACATATAATTTCTTACATAAGTTGATAAAAATAAGTTATAAAAATTGTAAAGAAAGATCATATTCACTTTGTTTGACATTTTTTATTAATGCCAATGAAGTTTAAACAGCATAACAAAAAAATGGTCGTTAATAATTTTGTAAAACATATTTAATGCTATAGTTTTGCCATGTAAACAGGAAACAGTTCACAGCTTTAGTACAATAAATTGAATTTCAATGCGTTGAAATATCGTTTGTCAAAGAAAATCGTTGATTTAACGTATATTATGATATTTTTTACAAAAAAAATGAATAATTAGCACAAAATAACTAATAAATATGAAGAGTACTCGGAACTTCTTACGCGGACGCCAAGATTAAAAGCCTAACACTTGCATCGTCAGCTAGACACAGACATGTTTGTCTGTCGGTGTGAACAGTCTACCTACAGTTTATAATTAAAAAAGGTTTCTCCTTTATTTATAAGATGCTTTGTGTATAAAATAAAACTGTTGGTTTATAGTGCGTGAGGTTTTTGCATAAAAAAGTGAGAATTTTGAAGAGGTCTCTATGATGAGACGAAATATTGACAAGTATATAAACAAAAAATTTTTGCTCAAGAAAGACCAAGTGGTGTTTTATTTTTTATGTAAACCCTAAACAATGGTCAAGTTATCAAAAAACGAGTAGTTCCAAAGTAGTTACTCTTTCCAATAAAAATTGTAGTTGTCCTTTATAGCTGACAAAGAATAAGTCATTTTTAGAAAGTTATCGAATGAAAACAAATATTTATTGTTAACAAATAAATTGATACTTATTCATCGTAGTTTATCATAAACCAAACGTCTTTAGAAACCAAAATCGACAACATCTTTTCAACATGACAACGCTCGTCATTACCATTTGAACACATTTTTCTTAATTTACTAAACATACAAGACAAAAAACTATCACAGATCTTACACCAAATTACGTGCTTAATTGATTTGGGATACTTTCGTCACGACCATCTCTTTTCTCCCATTGCTTTAGGCCATACTAAATTCGAGGATAAAAAAGGCACGAATTCATATTTTTGCGTTTTAGTTCAATAAGATACAAGTCTAATCTTCCAAAATTATTTTAAATTAATTTTATTTATACTTTTGTATTTTTCTAGGTTACTCAACAGTCAATTTCATCAGAACCGTTGGTAGTCAAGCAGAAAAGTCTAGATAAATTCTACATAACGGATGTCATATCGAGAGCATCTCCAACAATGGCTAAATGTGTGCAAGCTGTATTAAACAAAAATAAGAAGTAGCTTTGTTTATTAAGAATTTTGTAAATATGCACCAAATAATCTTGGTTAAGTTTTCTTCGTGTTAAGTTTTTGTTTAACATTTGATTTGTATAATTTAAAGTATTACTCATTACTAGACAACTTGTTTGTATCAAATTATCATTTTAAAATTAAAGTAGTCCAATAATTTTTACCTAATTAACATTTTTACAATATTCAAAGGAACTTCTACAATTTCTGGAAAACCGTACATGGCTTACCATTTAAGAATTCTCAACTACATCATATAAATATTTGAAGTTGTATTAAGCTTTAACATACTGACAGTGCAACGACTTATCTCTCAGCCTACACACCAAATTGAAATGTAATTCACATTAATAATTTTTTTTCTTGATAAACATCAAAATTTTGTAAAATTATTTTATATTAGTTTTGTATCTATTTAAAAATAATTCAAGTCGATTTGAATAGTCGATGGAAAATTATTAATAGGACTAAAAAATACTTCAATCCGAAATTGAACTGAAAACCTCTTTACTTAAAAGGATCACTTTCAATGAGGGAGTATCAAACATTTGATCACCAGAGGGCAGCATGGCGCTCGACTTGCCTACCTTCACTATTCTCCCTCACTAACCTACAGACCCTGCAGTAGTCCTGTGTACATGTGCAGTATTATGTATATATACTTGTATAGAGGTACACACACGAATATATATATATATATATATATATATATAGGCTGTAGGTGCGTCAGGCAAGCCAAGCGCCATGCTGCCCTCTGGTGATCAATTTTTTGATACTTCCTCATTGCGCTACGTACACCTTGGTGATTTGGTCCTCTAAAGCCGAACATTATCACTTTCTTTTATCTAACGCGCCATATCAGAAGTAATACAATGATTCGAAGATAAGTAGATGGCATGCATATCTGCTTTTCAGTTTAGTGACGTTATATATCGAAAAATATATTAAAAGCCCAGTGAGCAGTGATTACATGATTGAAAAATGCTACACGTAAATAACTAATTTCCTTAATAAATATCAAAATTTTTGCGAAATATTTACAAATTTTTTTCTAAGTACATTTAAATATTCAATGAGAAATTATTTACTTGAAAAAACAGCTCGTCTTGAAGCTGAACTAGAAACCTTCTTCGCACCAGAAAAATACGCTTCTGAATGCGCTACGGGGCCTAAGTGCCCTTGTTCGTGCCCTTATTCTGTCGAATGGAATAAAAATTACTTTTTTTCAGGCCCAGCGTCACACTGATATTTACATTAGGGTTCTAATATGGGCCAAATATTTAGAATTAAGGTTTATTAGCAACATTTATCGAACGCACTTGACGACGTTCTTACCGTTATGTGAGTAGCCTACATATGTGATAAAAGAATTATATTAATAATGGCTCTTCCTCTTTCCTCGAAATATGTATTCTACGAAACTCAAACAATTTTGCAAATGAATAAATTTAGATAGTTGATCAGAAATTATTACCAGAACAAGAAAACATATAATTTCTTGAAGCTAAACCAGGAACATACTATATTTTCACTGAAAATATACGATGCAAAAATTGCACTACTAAGACCTTAGTACTCTTGTTTTCCTGTGAGTCCGAGCGTAATTGATTTCTTTTCATACTTTCAGTAATACTGTTTTTTTTCTACTTTAAGAGAGTAAAGATCCAAATTCCTCCCAGGTAAAAATCGTATTTACTGCTTATTAGTAAAGCATTATACTATTCTCTGCGTACTTACCACCCTTGCTTTTTGCACGTAAGACAATTTTCACGCAGAGAATTTAAAAATACTTTGTGAAGAAGCAGTGAACTCGATTTTTCTCAGTAAATTATGTAGCACTTTTGAAATTACAGAAAAGTAGAATTTTTTGCAGAGAAAGAAATGAAATTGCGTATGTGTCTTGGGACAAAATCGCTAGAATTTTTTTTTACAAAAACGTCACGTTAAAACTTGTACTACAAAGTTGTTGGTTCCCTTCTAATCTTGTTAATTTGAGTGTAATCAATTTTTTTTTTCGTCAGCAACATTTTTATATTCGTACACTTATTCCGAAAAAATTGGATCTGAAAAAAATTTTTTCACTCATGTTGTCTGTTAAGCGACATAAGGAAAATAAACAACAGCAAAATTAGCATAAGGCTATCCAAAAAAGAGCGAAAACATTCCGATTTTCTAGCCTACTGAAAATTTGATTTTGTATAAAGGCTCAAGTGGACTAATAACTTGCGGTAAAGTTTTTATTAACTCATATTAACTAGTAGCAGAAAATAATAATAACTAGGAGCAGCAGCAGTTTTTTTGTGGAAGGAGGAGAAATGCATTAAGGCACACCGCAAGAACATCGGTAGTATGGGACTCAGTGAATTCTTTTTTAGTAGACACTGATACCTAGGAAATCCCCCCTCCATGCTGCATGGCTTCAGTTCTACTCTGGAACTGCGTTACCAGTACTTCAGGATAGGGCCATCAGGGAGATCATTGCATCTCATGTTATTAGCGAGCAAGCTCTCGACCAGGTGCTAGAGGTACCAATCCTCTTGAGTCCTGAAAAAGACTCTGAAGACCAGTACCCGTGTCTAGCACCCTACTATAGGCTGCAATCTTTGCAAGCGCCATTGAATGCATGATGCTTTTCCTACACTGAGAGAGCGTCGCGCGTCGGTACAACTGCTTTATCGATAGTGGTGTCTGTACAGTACTCACACTACGGCGCACACGCTTTCCAATTTTGGGAGCGAGCGGTCCTAAACGGTAGCCAGTCCGTAACAACCAGTCCTTTGTAACAAAATATACTAAGTCGAAAAATAGTTTACATAGTATTGTATTTTAGTTAAAAAAAAAAAAAAAAAGGTGCCAAAGAAAAGTATTTTT